CCAGCCCTGGGTACGATGGGCTAGTGCAGCCAGCAGTCTGGGCCTGCGCTCTGCCTGTGCCCCCCCAGCCCTGGGTACAAAGCAAAAGAGTTCCAGAAATACCTGAGCAGAGGCCTTGCCAGCCCAGCGGATCAGAGAGAGGGGGGAGAGAGGGGGAGAGAGGACAGGGAGCAGGTGGAAGAGAAGAAAGGAGGGAGAGGAAGAGAGAGATTATTTCTCGTAAAAATGTGGCAGTGAGGAGCGGCTCAACAAGGTCAGTTTGCTTGGCTTAGATCGGAGCAGATGTGAGTCACACAGGCCAGTCCCGGACCGGGTCGAGGATGGCGCTGATGCGAGACACACGGGCCAGTCCCGGACCGGGTCGAGGATGGCGCTGATGTGAGACTCACGGGCCAGTCCCGGACTGGTAGAATGAAAGTGTGTTGGAGGAGGAGCTGTGAGCTACAGGTCAGTACAGGCCTGGTGTCCCAGTATCAGACTATATGATATCATTGTACTACACAGTGTGATCCTGTACTGTATTATGATACTGTACTGTGCTACACTGTGCTGTATTATTCGACACTGTGCTGTCCTGTGCTGTATTATGTTACTGTCCTGTGCTGTACTTCTACTGTGTTGTACTGTATTATGATACTGTACTGTTCTATAAGGTATTCTGTAGAGTACCTCTATTTGGCGGTAATCACAGATGGCCCGGATGGGGGTGGTGGTCTCCACAGTGTTGTCTGCGTTTCGGGGTCTCAGCTGCACAATGGACTTGGCGCGCCCCACCAGGCTGGCCACAGAGCTGCGGTACTGAATCAGCTGCTCCTTCTCCTCCTGCCAGGGCGAGAGAGACGTCGTTGCACTGCGATTGCTCTGTACCGTGCCACCCAGCAGCCTGGCTTTGCCGAGTCAATCCATCGTTTTACTTTGCACAGCAACGTCAGAGCCATCTGCTGCCGTCTGTCTGAACCCCCCCCCCCCCGGGAGAGACTCGGTGTGCGCCAATGGAAAGGTAATAACAGACTCAGCACTTCTCACGCCTCCGCTCTCACACGCTGCCCTGCAGTCTGCCTCCACACCAGCAGGGGGCATCGCACTGCGGCAGCTGGAGCCCCGAGAGCAACGCTGGAATGTGCAACAGGAGATGACATCCCCGACTCTCTCAGGGCAGATCTCTCACGGCACACCGCCCAGCCCGCGAGGCGGGGAGCAGGAGGGGGGTGAGATCGCAGCGGACAGACGGGGGGGGTACCATGGAGTCCTGCAGCAGGTCCTCCAGCTTGGCCAGGCGGCTGCTCCTGTCAGAGGTGTACTGGCGCTTTATAGTGTCCTGCAGCCCGCGCAGGTACGACTCGCAGTCCCGCGCATCGCTGAAGAACTGAGAGAGAGAGAGAGGAGAGGGCTATGTGTCAGGTGGCAGCGCCCCACAGTACCGGCCCACAGACCCTCATATGCCCTACCCAGTGCCCCACGGTACCGGCCCACAGACCCTCATATGCCCTACCCAGTGCCCCACGGTACCGGCCCACAGACCCTCATATGCCCTACCCAGTGCCCCACCCGGTGCCCCACAGTACCGGCC